ACCCACTCATCCACATGGGCGGGACTGGCCTGGAAATCTGATTCCAGGGCAGAGATTTTCATGCTCTGGGGCCTGGGAAATCGTCTCATACACTTCTGTCTTTGCCATCAGATACTTTCACTTAATACCGGTCAGGTCAGTGCTGGGGGGATCTTTTTGTAAGCAGCTTGACGATAAACCTGCCGAGTTATTCAAAGGACCCAATAAGGTAAGATGAATGTGCTCGGAGCACGGGAAGCATGGAGAGGGAGGGAGAGAGTAGAGGGCGTCCATCAACTGGTGGGAAATGTCCAGGCATGTGAAAAGAGGCCAAAAAGTCTGTCTATCTTTAACATGGTTAAAGATTCCTTTACAGCCATGTAGTTCCTCCAAGTAGTGCGAAAGCAAAGCAACTGCTGCACATAACTAGAACTGCATGACAGTCCAGACTTTCAGGGAGTTGGCTACACCTTTTGACCTGATTTAATCTGTAACAAGGGACGCCTCTCCTTCTTTTATCTACATGTTTTAAATGCCAGTGTCATTCATACTAAGTCACATGTCCAGAAAAATGAACTGCTTGTGACCTGCTCAATTAGACTGATGTAAACATCTCTGAACTACATCTCTAAGTGGTGATATGCATAAAGCCTGTCCTCCCTAAAGTACACGTTCGCTCTATGTACATGAACTGCTCTAAAAAACGCGTCTTTTGCTGTAGGGGTGTGTCATGCGTCAGTGAGTGGCCACTTTTCCCTCACCACAAGTAACCAATGAGCATCAACCAGACTTAGTCCTCCATTAGAGAATGTTATGTATGTTAAGTTTTTTCCCACTCCCAAGTCATGAACAACTCAAATCTTGCTGACCAATGTTTTGGCTTAGACACAGTGCACCCTGAAGCTGCCTACGTGGCTGTTATACAAGTCATTGCTTGAGGTTTGCACAGAGAGCTGCTTTAAATGGCATGGGCTAAACCACACTTACTAGCCTACCACAGCTTGCATCTTCTAAATCTCAAGAGTAAACCCTAAGTATGTACTGTTTGTCTTCATGTCTTCTCTTAGGTTTTGTCTTTTAGTAACATTACACCATGTGGGCAACAAACCTCGTATCTCTCGTCCTTCTGACAACTGCAGCCTTGGCAGCAACCTCCACATCAAAAGACAAAGTGTTGAGTAACCATGCCACCATCCTGGCTGACAGCACTGCCAATTTGGCTTTCAGTGTCTACCAGAGCATGGTAAAAGACAAAAATGTAGAGAACATTATCATTTCCCCCGTCGTCGTGGCCTCCTCTCTGGGTCTTGTGGCTCTTGGGGGAAAGGCCTCCACTGCCTCTCAGGTAAAAACCATCCTGAATGTAGCTAAAGTTAAAGATGAGCATCTCCACCCCAGTTTGGCTGAGCTGCTCATAGAGTTGAGCGACCCAAAGACTCGCAACATCACCTGGAAGATTAGCAACCGCCTGTATGGACCCAGCTCTGTCACTTTTGTGGAAGACTTTGTCAAAAGCAGCAAAAAGCACTATAATTGTGAGCACTCAAAGATCAATTTCCGAGACAAGAAGAATGCTGTGAACTCCATCAACGAATGGGCAGCCAAGTCTACTGATGGCAAACTGCCTGAGGTGACCAAGAATGTAGAAAAGACTGATGGGGCGATGATCATCAGTGCCATGTTTTTCAAATGTGAGTGGATAAGGCTGTGTATACATGTAGTATTCTATACTGTTCCCTAAAAGACACCTAAAATTAACTGAATGTTTTTTCTCTCAGGTCACTGGGATGAGCAGTTCCATCATAAGATGGTGGATAACCGTGGATTCATGGTGTCACGTAGCTACACTGTTTCAGTACAGATGATGCATCGCACAGGTAGCTGGAGACATTCCTATCAGCTTGTTCAGAAACACAGTTTGAGACTAGGAATGGTAGAACATTTTGGGAAAATCGAAAAGTTACTGCTCCAGAGGATCACAGGGCTTGAAAAAGTAGCACCCGCAAACCCACAAACAATATAACTCCACTCTTTACATGTGCATGTTTCACTATTGAATGAGGGAGTGACTAGGGACTCATTGCCTTGAATAGAGACATCAAGTCTCTGCCACAAAACTTCCGGTAGAAGGATTTTTAGCTAGCATAGCTAAGCTAGCTTTCTGTTTAGTCTTTATGCCAAATTCAGCTAAAACATAAGTGCAATGACCTATAAAATCAGTCTTTTTCGAAAAATGTGAAAGTATTTATAGGTACTACTATTACTGATACTACTACAACTTTAAGATCACAACACATGTTAATTAAACATAGATATTTATGAGTAAAATGATATTTCTCACTATTGTTTACGAGAGAGATGAGTCCAAATAACTGCAATAATGTCTGGGGAAATATTATTATCATACTGTATCTGTAGGTAGGAACTTGATTCACAATTAAAAAAAAAAAAGATCATAACTCGCTGAATTTTCAACTCACTAGTAAATGGTTTGAGTAGTTACAAATGCCGGGCACAGTAAGATTATTTCTTCCCATTTATACAGAAACAATTTCCAGTATATACTATCTAGGGAGTTTGTAAAAACTGTGGTTAACAGCTGTGCATTTACCAGTTCAATATCCAACATTATGCAAAACTAAATATGAGTAATAAATGTAACACTTTCTTTTTTTGAAAACTGTAACCAGCAGAAATTTTAAGAGACTCTCATGGACAGATTGATGATATTTGTAATTAATTTGTTTCATCAGGTCTCTTTGGCTTCTATGATGACAAAGACAATAAGTTATCTATCCTGAGCATGCCTCTATCTCATAAGAAGTCCACTGTGGTATTCATCATGCCCTACCATGTGGAACCTTTGGATAGACTGGAAAAGATGCTGACCAAGAAGCAGGTGGATAAATGGATTGGTTTGCTACAGGAGACAGCTATAGCTGTGTCTCTGCCCAAAGTCAGCATGGAAGTCAGTCATGATCTGCAGGTAAACAATTAAAGAATTTGTGCCTTACCACAGAACACTCTTTTACATTGTCACTATAAACATTTCATGTTACTCCTCAGAAACACCTCCAGGAGCTGGGCCTGACCGAGGCTGTGGACAAATCTAAAGCTGACTTTTCCAACATCTCTGGGAAGAAGGACCTCTACTTGTCAAGTGTGTTCCACGCCTCTGCTTTGGAATGGGACACTGATGGAAATGAAATTGATACCAGTATCTTTGGCACAGACAAGCTGAAAAACCCTAAACTGTTCTACGCTGACCACCCCTTTATTTTCCTAGTAAAGGACCAGAAAACAAGCTCCATCTTGTTCATTGGCAGGATGGTCCGACCAAAGGGTGAAAAGATGAGAGATGAACTGTAACCATGTGTGTAAGTTAGATGTTTGGCTGTTATCATGAGTGTAGATTTTATACTGCAGCATGTTGAGAAATGAAGAGTACATCTGATACTATGTAAGAGCACTCTTTTATGTCACATGGCAACAACATTCCATAATACACAACTTAAACGTTTGTCTTGTAATTACTGTATGAGGCGATGTGCACATCTTTGAATTTGGGACAGTTGTTAATATTTCAGTGTGTGTGTGTTTGTTTGTATGTTGGCATGTCACATTATGGACTGAATACTTACATTAAGTATGACATATTAAAGTTTTTGTTAAAGCACACTTTGTTTTAATAAAGTAGCAGTAACATCAGAATTTGTGCACGAAAAAGGTTTCTGGTGTCATTAAGTCTTAAAAAATTATGTAAAATGTGCACATCCTACAAGCTTCCTTACCTTTTTGTGTCCACTTGTCTTTGTTTGGAGTCACCCTGAATGCAGTTCGATTTGTGCGCACATGGTTTAGCAAAGCAAAATATGATTGAGCTGTTTTAAATGTCCAGTTTTTGCAATAAAAGTATATAAAAAAAGAACTAGCAGGTTTTATCCTTATTTTAGGATGCTGCCCTTTACTTTGTGACCTAAACACGTGGCTGCTGCTCCAGGACATGGTTATCGTCACATCAGCAATTTCCTAATAACAACTGCTCCAAAACATAAAATTAATGGATGATCCATCATTTGATTGGCTAGAAAATCGGTTAGGTAAGTAAGTAGGGCCTAGGAAAGCATGCAAGAATCAATACTAAAGATAAACACTGTCATTGTCAACAGCACGGCACAGCTCAACACACCACCTAAAGGCCATCTGTATTTATGACACATGCACAAGGAAAAATAACAATTAGACAAAAGACATGTGTTTCCTTTCTGTTGCAGTGTGTGCATGCCATTTTTAATATAGTGAACACAGTTCTTTAGCATGAATTGCACTGTAGCTTTCTACAGTCAATGGTGAACGGGTGGTTAATTGCTCTGCCTTTCATATAGAAACACACAGCTAGAGATTTATATACCAGTGGAAGTATCAGTCCCCGCCCCGCCTATTGTTTTATCGTCACTGTACACACTGTTTACATTGTGTTACTGATTTGTTCAGACTGTATCGTTCAGTGGTTCCTCTTTGCTTGAGCTGTGTGACACATTTCTGTCTAATTGTTGCTGACGTAGTAATAACGTCTTGATACTGTTTAGTGTTGCTATGACTTAACATACTCCACACTTTAATGTGTACGGGAAGAGAACAGCCCACCATGCCAACCCTTTTTTTTGGTAGTAGAATGGTGGGATTATGTATATTTATGGAGTGAACCAGCAATAGCATTTTGCCATTGCAATATTTTTTAGGTTACAAGCTTAAAAAGTACTATGATGTTTACATATTTACAAAGAAAATATATAAAATATACACGAAATATGCACTTATACGTTACATGAAACCTTCGTTTTTAATACCTTCAGGGTGTGCTTTCACTTTTGTGTATTTGTAGTGTGTATTTTCGTGTGTTTTTTTTTTTAGCAGCAGCTCAACTGGCTCTCGCTATCGCCCTCTCCATCGCGCGTGGAGGAGGGCTCGCGGAGCGCTCGTGCACTATGATGGGACTACAAATCCGTTAGCGCCTACAGCCTCCTCCTCTTTCATCATGGCTCCCTCGATAGACAGGCAAGGATACTGGGGGCGGCCGACCTCAACACTGGACTGGTGTGAGGAAAATTATGTCGTGTCCTTTTACATCGCGGAATTCTGTAAGTAAAAATCTGCCCGCACCATCATTTACTCTAAAAACGGTGAATTTGGGGGTTCGTTTAATGAGGCTTTAGACTGGGAGAGTCGTAGTACTTCGCCCCTCTAAGGTAAACATAGGAAGAACTGGTGTAACTGTAATTTAGTGCATATCTATTATTGTGTTATCTCGGCTAATAACATGATTTTCTCCGTGTAGTGTAAACGCTAATCTGTACGGCTACCGGAGCTGTAAGTAAACGAGGAAAAAGATACGCTGTTTACAGCGGATATATTGTCAACCTGTTCTGTGCATCGTAACGCTAGCCAGCACTCGCTACACGTATCGAACAACCTTTAAACCTGTATGCAAAGCAGCTCAGCACAAACGGCTCACTTCATATTATTTCACGTTGCCAGCCATTTGTGTTACAAGTCCGCTGTTGAACGTGTTCTTCCTGTAAGACAGTACGTTAGTCAGTCACGGGCACCACTGGAAACTTGATAAAACATTCCCTTCACATTATCAGGGCGCCTCTCTGCCTTGTCCACCGATAAAAAACCTGTTCCTCTGGAACCGTAATCTTAGATTAAACCGCTGTTTCCATCAGTCTTATCAAAAAGCTGTTGTATCAGCAGAAATGACAGGACAAAGGCTTGAACCTTCATTAAGGAGACAGTAAAACTCTTCGAAATAATTTACTCTAGCCAAACAAGCGAACAGAAGAATGACCCATTCCTGTGCAGCAAACAAAAATGTTTACCCAGCCTATTAATAGTTCATGGCGACAGTTCGTAACATAAAGTGATACAAATGACTCGTCATATGTGACACAGAGCAAAATCCATGTGTCCAGCAAGTTCATTGTAATACATTGTAACTATTACAGTACTTTTCCTTTGAAGGGAAAAGGTTCACTTGCTGTTGTCAGCGGTGTTCAGAGTTACTGTATGGTACAACAGTTGATCCAAAGTTGGCTCAAAGTGAACTTAAGCGTTGCAGTTTGGACTCCTTTGTCATCTGTCTTCTTCTGTCTGACACACATCTGCCTAGCTGCAGGTTTTCTGCTATAGTTTTGTGTGTCCTTTATAGTAGACTGCACTTCTGGTATGGGTAATTTTTTATCAGTAACCAAAATCTGCATATTTTGGTGGCTTTAATCAGAAATCTGCAGATAAAGGCATGCTGGTTTCTGGAGATTCTAGTAAGTTAGTTTTCAAACAATGCAATGTCCTGGTAAGTCTGATTGTTTTCCACGCCTCAGTGCATACATAGCCACACCCACAAAGTGCAAGGTTGTGTTCAGAGTTGAGCTCTGTTTTGTCAGGTTCCCTGTGGACTAGATGATGTGCAAGCAGTGCTCCATGCACACGTTAATGACCTATGGGGGGAGGGAGGTTCTCTGATGAGCATCAACATTTGTATATCAAGCGTAGTTTTGCTCGGCGTAATTGGTTGAATCATTTGAATCAGAACTGACCACTACAACCCTACTACAGGTCGCCCTCATCTGTCTGTGCCACACTGTAAAACATAGTGGGGAAAACACAGCCTATAAAATTAGGATCTAAAACACAAGATTGTAACATGCTGTGTGAACAATGTGATTTCAGGATTGAGTGTATAGGTGTCATATTAATTTGTCAGTAAAGGGGTCGGGTAGTTTTAGTTTTGACTAGCTAAGAAACAAAAACCCAGATCAGTCTAAATTCAAACTATTTGCATATTTGAACAGTTTAAATAAACGAAACCTAGTGCTATTGCTTCTATATCGTATAATAGAGATTTTATAGCTGTGCACCCTTTGGATTTTATGCTGCAACCGTGGTAATGCGATACCATGCATAACACTCGTTGCGGCCATGTCACGTTTTCTCTGAGCTTTTCAGAGATGTGCAGTTATCTTAAAGGTCACTTTCATTTATCTATGCTGTCTTTGCTGACAGGGAACACTGTCAGCAACCTGATCATGATTCTCCCTCCCATTTACGGGGCCATCCAGACATTCCGTGACGGCCTCGAGTCCCGCTACATCTGCTCTTTTCTCGGACTGGCAGGTTGGTGCACTGGCTCTGCATTAATGCTGTGATTGTTGCGAGAACGTGCTTGTGACAGTTATTGAGAGCAGTGGCTCAGTATTTACAGCAAACGCCTCCGGCCGAATGTCCTAACTTTGAATTTTTGTGTCTTGTGTGTACTCTTCCCCCACACCCAAGCTGTTGGTGTTGGTTCCTGGTGCTTCCACATGACGCTGCTGTATGAGATGCAGGTGGGCTGCAAATCTGAACATGTCAGCAAAAGCGGGCATAAACTGAACTCATGAGCATTTGCTACTTGACCAAATGCTTGCTTGTACAGTGATGTAGTAATGCGTGTTTCTTTTCTTTTCTGTCTCGTCATTTGCAGTTACTGGATGAGTTGCCTATGATTTACAGTACCTGCGTTTTTGTCTACTGTATGTAAGTGCCTTCATCTTTTTGGATCAATTGTTGCAGCACTCACCTGAGAACAAATCCAGTATCACTGTAAAATGAACCAGTGAATCCTTTACTGATAACTTAATGCCTTAAAAAAAACCAGCCTGTTTTTGAAGATTTGTTTCTAGATTTCACTTTCATTTTAGCTCAGCTTATATTTGCCCTTTGCCCTTTGGTTCTCTTCTTATCAAGCTCAATATAAAAGATAAATATTAATTTGTTTTTCAGATATGAGTGTTTCAAGCAGGAGAAGGGTGTCAGTTTATTTCCTATTGCAATATTATTTATCTTCAGTGTCTCAGTCACTGTGGTGAGTATACATGTTTTCATTACCAGTTTACTCTGAAACTGAACTCAGGAAGAAAGCATTAACGATCGTCCTGTCCCTGTTGACTGTTACTTGTGTAGGTATATTTGCAGTGGAAGGAGCCAGTGTTTCACCAGGTAAGGGAGTGTTTTGCATTATGTTCACCTGACTCATGTTGCTCATTGTTTGCAATTAGGGTGCCTTAGGTCTACTTTGGCTTGTGTAAACACTGAGCTTGCCAATGCGGCATGCAAACTCAGCTTGGTGCATTGTGGGTGTTAAATGTATGGCAGCATTTCACACCAAAGCAGAGGAATTTCAAGTGTACCATTAAGAAAAATGATCCAGAGCCCTGAAAAAGAAACAAACCTTTAACTGTGGCATTAAACACGTCAAACACTTGTTGCCAGGAAGGAGATAAATCTAATACGCCTAACCCTAAAAACCATTAAAGATAAGCATAGCCAATTATGTAGGGCTGCTGTTAGTGTTTGTCTGTACCTGTTATAGTCTCAGGTAATGTGCTGTGTTACAGCAATAAGGACAATGTGACAAAGTGGCCTTTGTTTAGTCCTTGGAGCTGTATTTGTTTACTAATCACACTGGTCTGTAGTGGTTGTGATAACACTCCCTCTGTTCTAGCATGGTGAGCCAACACATCCATAAACATGCACAGAAACATGATGTCAGTTTAGTTAACAGTTGTGTGCTGCTCAGCTGAAGAATGTTTGCTTTATTTTTAAATCTTACTCAAAAATCTGACAGTGATATACTATTACTACAACTACCGCTATTGCTAGTAATAGTAATAATAATAAATGGTAATTAACCCAGGCCTGCTACTGGCCCAGTTCCACTGGCAGCCATACACAGCCTCCACCAAATGTAACAGATGATGTAGTATGCTGTGGACCATGAGCTTTTCCTATCTGTCTGGTTTATTTAGTATTTCCAGCCTGATGCTGGCCTCTTTCACTTGCATCAGCATTTCTTTTGACCTCATATTAACCATTCCAGTGAAAACACTTGAACACTTTAAATCAACCAAATTCTTATATCTTTACCTGATACAGCTTGCTAGCCAGCTGTCAATATATTTTTGAGCCTTAAAGTTAAATGTTTGCACTTGAATCACATTAGGCTGTTTTGCTTTTAAATTCCACTGTGGAGGGTAAACAGAGCTCTGTATAACCTCCAACTAGAAAAAATAGAATTAGAATTGTCCAAATACTTATGGACCTAGCTGTATATACTGGTTCCTTTCTTTAGTTATATTCTAATTTGCTACAATATTGTTCCTTTTTATCTGTTGTTGAAAAAGAGCCAAGTCAATAATGCTACAGGTCAAACACAACACAGTCTAACAGGGATTAGTGAGTCCTGAATTATGGGCCTCAATTACCTGTTAGTTACAGTTCTGTCTAAAAGTCTTGAGCCACCCTTAATTTCTTTATATTTTGCTGTCAAGGAACCAGACGTATAACTTTTTGAACTGTTCTTCAGTAATAGTTCTCCAGGCTTTGTGAAGGTCTTTCAAATGTTTAACTTTGTCACCGACTTGTTGTCCCTGACCATTTTCAGGGAAATGTTTCTTTATCAGCTTAACAAAAAATGACCTATGATCATTCAAGTATAAAAAGACACCTGACACTTAAAGAACCTGTTTTAAATTGTAGCTTTAGGCACTGTGTTACTAGCAGACTGTTGGAAACACAGAAGTTGTTCCCATTTGTTTTTCAGTTAAATTAATGAAAAATGCTAAAATTACCTTTTTATGATTGGGTGTGTGACACATTTACAGACTTCTGTTTCCGACAGGCTTTTTCTGCCTTCTGGTGAGCAGCTGTTGCTCAGAGTTAGAGCGGAGGGTCGATCCCAGCACAAAGCTAGTGCAGCATTAAACCTTTTAATAAATGTGTCCATGCTTTTCACAGCTCAGCTAAAGCCAACATGAAACAGAACTTGAATATGATTATTGGGCTTGGCTAGATTTAGTATTAGAAATCTTTCTGGCTGCATGTTCTTTTTCGATTATAAGGAACTTCTCAGATATGCCACTTCCTGAGCAGAAATAAAACTGCTGACAATTCTGATTAGAAAGCTCAAATGATTTATATCACAAAAGGTTAGCAGTTGGCTACAATGTGCATGAAACACCAGAAAACAAAAATGTTAGATGAAAGGAGATTTTACTTGACCAACATCATATGCTAATAAGCTGTGTTATTATTTGTTGTGCACAAGCTCGGGCTGTTTCCATCTGAGGAATTTCCTGTCAGTTGAACTCTGCTGACTCAGTGGAAATGTATAATTACTGAAAGATTGTATCTGTATCCATATCATGCATGATCCAACTCTGTTTCAAATCCAAACACCTGCCCTTGTTTCCAGGTCATGTATGGTGCTCTAGTAGCTTGCCTAGTATTGCGTTCTATCTTCATTGTTACATGGTAAGTTTGCCACAAGGTCCATTAAATAAGAAACATTAACATATCAAAAGACGTGTTATTCATTAATATTCAGTAAGGCAACAACATGCTGAAGGGTGTTTTTTGTTGTTGTTGTTTGATTTTCTTTCAGGGTGTACCCATGGCACAAGCCACTGTTCTACACCTCTTTAGCTATCTTTTTGTTGGGTTTCCTTCTTTGGAACATCGACAATATCTTCTGTGACTCTTTAAGGTGAGTAGTGGAAGTTAAGGTTAATTGTGAAATTCTGAGAACCAAGTTAATTATTCTCCACCTAACAGTTGCAATGGTAAAAGTGTTCACTTCAAAGTCATAAACTGTAACTCCGATGTCACTGCAAACCAACCGACACTGTTTCTCTAAAAAAAAAATGCATGTTTAGGTTTAAATGTCCATGCAGGTGTTAAATCACAATCTTTGGGTCAATTTCTTATCATTTTTTGTTGTAGTTGATAAAAATGTTTCACTTTGTTAATGTCTCGAGTTGTTGGGTAAACACTTACTTTTGAATCCCAGAGCCAGTAGACAAACACTGCCCCCTGGTGTTGGAGTGGTAACACAGTTCCATGCGTGGTGGCACATATTTACAGGTCTGGGGTCTTACCTACACATACTTTTCAGGTAAGCTTCAGTCACAGGAGATTACAGCTGCAGTGCGGTTTATTGTCCACATGGATTCAAATCAATTGTTCTTGTTTTTTAGTTTGCAGATCAGATCAACCTACCTCAAGTACAGGCCAAAAGTAAAGGTACACCCAACTCTTTGTCTGCAGGATATTGTGTATGTTATGTAGTGTCACGTGTTTGTTTGAATATTTGTTATCTCACTGGTGACCTGTGGCTGTATCTTAACATTGTACAGTTTCTATGTGGAGTGTGGCCCACATTGCACATTGAACCACAGAGGACAAGCTGAATGAAGGAAAGGGGACCAACCGAAGGATTGTGAATGCCAACGGCAGACATCCTCGGCACCGGGACCTGCCAATGTCATCCTGCAGCTGCTGGGGGGACCCAGCCAGGGGGAGGGTGGGCCCCAAGACACCACCCCAGGGACCCTTCAGCTCTGCACTGTGGGGATTAAGTACAGTATAGCACTGAGATCAGTTCTAAGAAATTATTATTTTTTAATCACCATAATTTATTAGACTAGTTTTTCTGTAATTTTATTGGAGTGTAGTATTTTATTTGGTTATTAATTTTGGATGCAATGAAGTGATCTGTTGAAGTGACTAATGCTGAAAGGGTTTTGGACTTTAGCTTGGGTAGGGTTTGGGAATGGGGTAATGAGTGTCATTAATGCAAAAGTCACATGACATTGCCTTTGTATGTTCAGTCCTGTGAATGTTTAAATCCCCTTCAAATGCATCCCTGTTAGTAGCAAGTATAGATCAGAGTACTTTGCTTATCGGTAGCTGAGAGAACACTACTTACAGCACATCCTGTCCCTAATGTAGTTTCGGGATATGCTTACTACAAATGGAGTAAATGCCAGCTAGAAATCTGATGCGGTGTAGCTCAGATGTCTCAACTCATCATAGTTGTTCACTCATTTGCTTGTTTGTTTTTTAATATTCTAACGTTTTAAGTTACACTGGGAATCAAAACACACGTGTGATGTGTGAGGTATTTTAATAGTTCAGTGCTCGTACAAAACAAAAAAATTATTGACAAAGTTAAGATTTTTCCTGGTGCAAGGCGCAAGACAAATCACTTTCTACATCTCCAGTTTCTCTGAACAGACAGAAAGCTTCCTCTTCCTGCTAAAGCGATACTCTGAACTAATTTGTGCTTTATGAAGAACTACAGCCACCACGGGGGTAGGTGTAGTGGAACCATAATGAGACTACCTCAGGGTTGTTATACAGTACAGGACAGTCATACTTGAAACGTTGATAGTGAAACTAGTTAAAAGTCTGTCAGTAGAACTTTAGTTGTTGAAAGTGAATCAAAGGACCAAGTGAATGACTGGAACATGTCTGAGTTGTTACATCTTTATGAGCTGCGCTGAATGAAGAACTGGACTTGTCCACTTCTGGCTTGCTAAATATCTCCTTCTGCATTAGCTATCCGGTCTTTAAGCTTGAGTCTGAGTCATTAGCCGTGCCTGGGCCCAAACTCCACTGCAAAGTCACAAGATCACTGCGGCATCAGTGAGAGTTAAAACTGTCTAAATTCTTTCATCTTTAATAAAATGATCAGTGTTGCTGCTTTACCAGGTGTAACAAATAAGTTTAACATCCAGGCATCCATGAAAACAGAATTTATGAAATTTAACAGTTAGAAGTTAGCAGGAAGTTAGCTCGCTAGCTTCCATCTAAATATAATATAGCATGTTCTGAGTGAGGGATTTCAGAAACAAATTAAGACGTACAGCTCTGCTATCACTTTCAACATAAATGAAGACAAAACTAAACAGCAGTGACGTTTGTAGGGTTACTGAAGTTTGGCTAGCTGGTATATAATGATGTGCTACTTGATCGCTAGCGACACAGCTATGTTAGCATAACACAAACAGTAAAGCTAGAGGATAAATCAACTTTTTTCCACTCAATAAAAGTTAACGTGAGGGTTCCCGAAGGTTAGGGACAAATGCAATATTTTGGCAGGATGCTGTAAACGGACTGAACTTCAGTCAGGAGAACAACTGAGATAAGCTTGTTGAGATTAAATAGAACAAGATACAAAGCATTAAAACATGTAAAAAGCACAACAGCCTTATTAAACGCAGAGTAGTTTGGGCCCAGAAGCAGGATTCATCACGCCATCACTTAAAGACCGGATAATCCCCTCAATGTTCATTGATCATTATGTTAAAGAACAGTAATATGGCTAAGTGTCCATAGTAATTCTGAGAAAACTTTCAAAGTCCCATCTTTTAACTTATAGCCAAACAATACATTTTATTTAAAAAACAACAACATGACTTTATAATGACGAGGCAAATTGTGCAAATGCACATCTACAGACGCCTTGTGATACAGTTTCTCATGCAACCACTAGGTGGCTGTAAATTTCCAGCATATTTCAGACATTGCCAAGCTTGTCATTAAGTGTATGAAGAACTACCTATCTGCTCTAGATCTGGCTGTTAGGATCCATGCTTACATTTGTGTGGTGAAATGAAGGGCTTTTTTCTTTCCAATGTTTTTGTTTGGTTACTGTGAAACCATGGAGATGTATGTAAAACTGGAAGATGCACAACACTACAGTAGTGAGAGATTCTTTGGCATTTGCTGTGGCCTCAACTGCTGTGCACTGGATCTTGAGACAACATGTAGTATTTTCATTTTTTTGGTGTTGTTGTCATAATTAAACGCTGTGTCACCAACTCATGCTTGGGTCTAATAAGTACACAGACCCAGTCTCGGAAAAACATTCGCAAGCACAATGTACAAAAGAAAAGTATTACCGTTGTCCACATGCGTGTTTGGAAACATCACTGTATGATACAGCTTGAAAACGTTGCTCATCAGTATGGGTGATCAGGTGTCAAAGAAGGTGCCTTATCGTTTTCCTAGCAGTGTAATCCGAGTTGCCTTGATGTTTGTGATAAACCATTCAGTTTGTGTTCTGCAGTGTGCCCTTCCCCTGATTATTTGCAGTGAAGAAGAGCAAATTCTGCCATGGTTTTTGTTGTACTTTGATCATGTGCCAGTCTTTTACGGTGTCATGTATTGTCAAATAAAAGAAATGTCAAACTTCCATCACCATATACCATGTGGATCGTGAGTATTGTGTGTTATTGGCATGTTGTTAGTGAGTCGGTTGGAGTCATTCAAACCTAGAGTAAAGCAGTAATTTACTGTGACGCATATACACTGGAAAATGTGGTAAATACATCCTCAGGTGAAGAATGCACAGCATATTAAACACTGTCATTAGGACAAAACACAATATGGAAGTACACCCCATTATTCAGTAGCTTGCACAACCACCCTTTGCAGCAATTTATTAACATATTTCAGTGAGGCTGAGTTTTGGACTTTGTCATTGCTACATTTTGTTTTTTTTGTGTTTTGGCTAAGCTTCGCTTGTCACTGTTTGACAACCTTTTTTGACTCTAGAATACTTTGTTATATAGCAGAGATCATGGTGGACTAAAGGACTGCAAGGTGCCCAAATCATGCCCACCCCATGTTTTTCTGTGCTATGTGGTCAGACATCCGATGTAACTTTGCAAACCTAGGCTGTGCCAAAAAGAGGCTTTCTGCTGGCAGCCTTTTCAAACAAGTTATTTTTGATCAGTCTTAGTGTGACATTCTAAACTTTAACATGTCGCTCATGGATTTTTTGACATTCAGTTTCACTTTGTCTGACTTTGGGATAATTTTTTTTCTGTAAAATGAAAGACTTAAAATGAAAACAATTTCCAAAAAAATGTTTGGAAATGACCCTTTCCAGATTAATGAGCACTGAGGGATTTGTTCTCTAAGATCATCACTGGTGTCTTTCCTGCTTGGCATTGTGGTAACACACAGCTGAATGCTTCAGACCAGCAAACTGCCAAAACGTTTGCTTTTGTAGTGCTTGTGATGAGAACCACCTGGCTGGAAGCAGTGCTTAAACAATGGAAAAAACACAAACTCTCATGTTTAGCTGTTTTCCACTTTTTCTTTGGTCATTTTAGCCTTTTTGGCCAGGGTGAAGGGAGTATCTGCCATCAAACAAGAAGACAGCCGCATGTAGCTATAGTGATGTTTGCTAGTTCACCTTACATGCATTAATGTAATAACGTGGTTAGCCTACTCAACGTAAATTACACACGAACAACATGAAGCTACCCACCCAGAGAAGAACGGCTGCTGCTGCTGCCATCATCATCTGTCATCATTTCTGCTACACTGGCAGGGCTAGGGGCCAGGACGTGTTTTTGGGGGATGTTGCTAACTCCGGGTCTGATAACAGGCAACCCACCCGCAGTAGATGTGCACGGTGTGAGGTCTCGCAGCAAACTATCAAATACGGCGCATTTCTCGGCTTTAAAAAAAACCGCTATGCGTCGCCAGGTGTTTCATCGGATTTGAGGTGTTACCTCCTTTGACAGTATCTGGCTGCAAGTGAAGTTAGTTTTTTACACACTGCTTCTGCATTTTGGCTTATTTTTTGTTAAATAATAACTGCATAGTGTAATAGGTCATGTGTTGTTGTACATCTGGAGTTGCACTGAGCTAATGTTAATACTTGGAAAGGACCTGATTATTTTTTTCAAATCATTTTTTGATACGTAAAACATGGCATATAAAAAATGGAACCTCGTAAAATAAAAGACATGTAATAGCTGACACAGCATAACCAAATGTTGACAGTCCAAACTATGCAGAAGCTGAGAAACCTTTCAGTACATTGAGGAAGAATGTTTGTTATTGTACCTCTGTGTAAGGCATAATAGTAAAAGAAGGCTTGGTCTGGGTTAAAGAAGGTGACAAATCTCAAAACGCGTCACCACTTTTCTGCGCTGATTGAGGTCACTGATTTGCTCCATTAGTCAACGAGTCATTTGTTAGTCACTTGAGCCTGTTTCAGTGAAGTGCCAACAGGTTCCAGAAATCTAATAAAGGTGTGTGTCTGTGTTTGTATGTGGCAGAGCATGCGCCAAAAAAAAGCAGTTCAGCCACATGTCATAAAAATTTGGCATAGTTATAGTAATATAAATGTAAAACTGCATCTCTGAATAAAGTGTCTGAACTTAGTGTAAAGCTGGTTTCACCTTTTCTTTACTGCTCTGTACGCGCTAAGTGCTTGATCAGTAACACACAGCCCAAATGTGTCCATAAAAAACAAACAGCAACAACAAAACAAAACAGATGCTTGTCTTTCTTCTCAGCATAGTTTACACGGAGGAATTTGACTCTCAGTATCAATCAATCAATCTTTGATTGCTATAGCACATTTAAAAAGGACAGTGTCCATCAAAGTGCTTCACACAAGGTAGCAAAGCAGATTACAACAAAGGCAACAAGAACAGTTAAAAACATTTAAAAACAGTTATAGTTACAGTTACATAGCACATCTGGGCATAGGACCCCAGTGTATTAGTTAGCTGGTCCAGGGGAATGGGACTGTCAAAAACAATAATTTTCGTTTTAATTATCATTTAGAGTTAGAGAGTTTTGTAATAGCCAAGCTTTAACTTTCCGCAGATAGTTGAACAAAGGCACTAATGAGGACTGGACATCCTGATTCTGGGGGGAGTCGATTTGGATGTAGCAGTGAAACGAGATATTATGCTTTCTGAAAATGAGTCTCAAGGGCAGCATGTACAAAGAACATAATGTAGGACTTAGCACCGAGCCCTGGGGGACACCGCAACGGAAAGGGCAGAAGAGGAAGAGTATTTCCTCATTGTGACGGAGAAAGACCTCTCAGATAAGTATGATTTAAACCATGAAAGGACATTACCTTTAAGTCCAGCTACATGTTCTAGCCTTGCCAGGAGAATATTGTGATCAACCGTTTTGAAAGCCGACGTTAAGTCTAATAAAACTAGGACCACTGAGCGCCCTGAATCAGCAGTTAAAAGCAGTTCATTAAAAACTCTTAATAGTGCTGTATCGGTACTGTGGCGCGGTTTAAACCCAGAATTTCTCACTGATTCCATTAGTCTCTAAAAAGGTCAGCAACTGATGAAGGACTATTTAGGATAGTACAGGATGTGTGATGTGGTGTTGCCATATATAATCATGTCCAAGGTGACAGTGACACAATTATTATAATTTTGACTGTGTAGCACATCACAATACATGGAATACTGCTCTACTGGCAGCTGTGTTGCAGATGAGTAATTGGAAAACTGACAGTTACGAAGTATGATTGTAGAATGGCCACTCGCTAGCTCTCCTTATAACGCTGCTTTATTGAACATGTGCTCGGCATCAGTTATAACAAAAAAACTGCCACTAGGCCACCCTGCCGCAAAAGCATATCAGATGGCGTAAAGCCGCAATACACCACGGCTCAATGTAAACACTAACATAACCCAGTGTATGACAATGATAGTCAACTGTGACAAGTTTTCTTCTTAATTCATGATACATTAAGGTGATGAAAGGACCTGAGTTGATGCAAAGTGTGAAACACGAGTTTCCAAAATGTGTTAAGGCAAGAATTAAAGACCAATATCGGGCAAAACAAACAAAAAACAAAACAAAAACAAAAACAAAAAAACAAACCAATAAACAAACAAACAAACACAGCTGTCTGCAGCATAAA